TTAATTGATCGTGTGCTCGAGCCTCAGATGATTGATGAGGAAATCCAGTTAGACTTAATGCTTTATATGCTTGTCATATTCCTCTTCTTACTGATTTGAGGTCCACTGGAGTGAAGTTAGGGGTGGAAGAACGAGAAGAAGCTTTACTTGCTAATTTCCAAGTTAGACCAATTTTAATTGATCGTGTGCTCGAGCCTCAGATGATTGATGAGGAAATCCAGGAGTTAATTGAAGCCAGAAGTCAGGGGAAAAAGAAAGATCTTAGAGTTCGGGAGAGTGATGGCATGCTTATGCAGGAGAACAGAATGTACGTGCCAAATAATGCAAAATTAAAGAAAGAAATTTTGGATGAAACGCACTGTTCGGCTTATGCAATGCATCCTAGAGGTACTAAAATGTATCATACCATTCGACCATTTTATTATTGGCCGGGTATGAAAAGAGAAATTGCTGAGTATGTGAGTAGATGTGCCATTTGTCAGCAAGTTAAATCTCAAAGGAAAAAGCCTTTTGGGTTGATACAGCCACTTCCCGTTCCACAATGGAAATGGGAAAATATTACTATGGATTTTGTGTACAAGCTACCTCGTACACATAATGGTTATGACGGCATTTGGGTGATAATTGATCGGCTTACTAAGTTAGCACATTTTATTCCAGTGAGGGAGAAGTATTCTTTAAGCCGATTAGCTGAATTATTCATATCGAAGATTGTGAAGTACCATGGAGTTCCAGTTAGTATTATCTCGGATTGTGATCCCAGGTTTACTTTTAAGTTTTGGGTAGCATTCCAAGAAGCTCTTAGTTCGAGGTTACTTTATAGTACAGCATATCATCCTCAGACAGATGGACAATCAGAGAGGACTATTCAGATGTTAGAGGATATGCTGAGATCTTCAGTTTTACAGTTTGGTGATGCTTGGCATAAGCGGTTAGATTTGATGAAATTTGCCTATAACAATAGTTTTCATTCAAGTATTGGTCTGGCACCATTTGAGGCACTTTATGGTAGATCTTGTCGTACACCTTTATGTTGGTCAGAGGTTGGCGAAAGAGTTTTGGAGGGCCCTGAGATAGTGGAGGAGACTACTCAGAATATTCAAGTGATTAAGTCTAACTTGAAAGAGGCCTAAGATCGACAGAAGAGCTTAGCAGATAAACATGTCATTGACAGAGTGTATAAAGTGGGTGATTGGGTATTTTTAAAGCTTTCAGTGTGGAGAGGTGTGGTACGGTTCGGAAAGAAAGGTAAGCTAAGTCCTAGGTACATCGGACCATATATAATCACTGAGCGAGTTGGTGAAGTTGCGTACAGGCTTGAGTTGCCTTCAGAGCTGTCTAAAGTGCATAATGTTTTTCATGTGTCTATGCTTCGTCACTATGTTTCAGATCCGTCGCATGTGATACCTCTTCAACCTTTGGAAATTAATCCAGATTTGACTTATGATGAGGAGCCAGTAACTATTATGGATTGGAAAGAAAAGGTTCTGAGGAACAAGACTGTGAGATTAGTAAAAGTTTTGTAGAGAAATCACTTAGTTGAGGAGGCTACTTGGGAGACAGAGGACTAGATGAGAGAAATGTATCCATGCCTATTTTATGATTACTAGTGGTTTGTTTGTTGTTGTGAAATTTCGGGATGAAATTTTCTTAAGGAGGGTAGGTTGAGACAGCCCGTCCCGAATTATTTGTATCGATAGCGTGAAATGGTTTGCCCTTGGACGATTGTTGATGTAGTGGGTGATATGTTTTGGTTGTGGTCCAATATATGTTAAGTCCTAATTGTTTGGACCCAATTGGAGCTAAATTTGTCCTAGTTTATGGTTGGTTGTTTTGTTGCCAACTAGGACCACACACACATACCCATACCCTTACCCGTTGACTCACCTTCCTCTCGCATTTTCTGGCATTTCCATACAACCCGTATGGACAAACCATCAACCAACCAGTTCAGGCACGGATCGAGGTTTTAAAGTTAACATTCAAACACCTTGCAAGCCTAGGAGTTGATCTATACCTTTGTTTGGACTTAAAACCTTCGAAAACCCTAGTTTCTCGTGAGCTCCGATTTGGATATTGTTCATGCAATCGTGATCGTGAAGTTTTTAGAAGTTTTTAAGCTTCTAGGGAGCTTTAGAACGTCTTCACGAAGCTCGAAGAAGAAAAACGAAGTGTTTTGGACGTCGGGAAGTTGAGTTTGGCGAGTTTCAAGTTTGGCCGGATTTTTGTGGGTTTTTCCGGCAAGATTCCGTTGGATTTAAGTCTGGTAAGGGTTCGTTCTACTCATTGTAAGCTTCATTTTCATACAAATTTCATGGAATTTGGTTGGGATATGGAAAAGATATGAAGTTTTAAAGTTTTTCCAGAAACCGGCGAAAATTCAAGTTGCAGATGGCGGCGCTGACGGCGGCGACCGGCAAGGCTCGTCGAAGAAGGAGACTAATATTCCATCAAAGTTGATGGAATATTCTAATGGCGTCAGGTAACGCCGTTAACTTTTGTTAAGGTTTTAACGGAATATTCCTAACTGCCGTTAACTATTCCATTAGGGTTGGCCGCGCGTGGGTGATCGGAAAATTTTTCTAAAAATATGGGGATGTTCCTGAGGTTGTGTAGATCATGGTGGTATATTAAAACACCCCATTTGAGCATTGTATGAGAAGTTATTACCTAGTTTCGTTTATGTACTTTAAATTAACGTTTATATAGTTGTTTTGCATATAGTGAGACCTATCCTTAGGACGAGTGCAGTCAATCGAGGCTTGGGGGCTACGACCCTTCCACATACCAGTGAGTGGGCTTTTGGTTTTCCGTATATACCTATATACTTGAGATTTTTCCCAGAAAATCGATTTGAATGAAATTGTGTTTGCCATGCCTATTGATTTATGCTTAGACTATGAATTGGTATGATATGTGCATATTGTGATTTGACGCGGTGGACGCTCAGGTAAGTACTAGGTGAGTTATAGATTGTTTATGTGAATTGAAGATTATGTGAGATGTGTTGAGAGCTCATAAACCTTCACATCGGTGTTAGTGTTCCCGCCCGTGGTTAGGGCATAGTCCTTCACGTGATGTTCACCTTCCGCACCATATGCTCACCTTGGATCCAAGTTAGGTGCACAGTCTTGTCGTACAAACCACTTTAGGTGGTTCCGACTCGTAGGTGACCCGTGATTATTCGCACAGTCTTCACGTGATCGTAGCACTTGAGCATATTTATTTACGCCCAGTCCTGTCATACAGACCACTTTAGGTAGTTCCGACTCATGTTGTTGAGATGTGGATTTGAGCCGTACAAGTCACGTTAGGTGACTCTGGCTAGATGGATGAGCTCTAGATTCAGCCATACAGGTCACGTTAGGTGACTCCGGCTGACATATCATTTGCATTGATTTATATCACTTGGCTTACATGTTTATGCTGAGATATTTGACATGGCATATATGTGGATTTTGCTAATTCGAGAATGGTTTCGATATATGTATGTATTCTACGTTTTGGGAAATTATACAGGTTTTATGGCGAGGGGTTAGAACTTTTGAGAAATGAAATGATTTTGAAAAGCTTTGTTTTTGCCCACTCACACTTTCTATTTTGCACCCCTCTAGGTTCTAGTTAGGAGTGCTTTTGGTGTCTTGCGAGGAATCCACGGCAACTCTGACAGATTATCACCCTTGTATGGTCACCCTTTGGTGTTGTGTAATTAGTATTCGTCCTGCTGGACTGCTCTTAGGCTACTTATGCTCTGGTTGTGAATTCACACTTATTTCGTCTTGCACTTGTTCTTATTAGTGCTCTAGTTAGTTTGGTTTTTATTTATTCGCATTTCTTATATTATTATTGCTTCCGCATTGTGCACATGGTTACGTCACCCTCACGTGACGGCCAGTAAGCCTTGATTTCGGTCGAGGTGTGTCAGAATACTAGTACTATCATTATTTTTTAAATTGAACATTGACTGTTTCTAAAACTGAACGAGGATAATATCACTATTTCTTAAACTGAACGCTAACTATTTATAATATGAATACTATCACTATTTCTTAAACTGAACACTAATTATTTTTTATACACATGAAATAAAAACACAATTTCAAACTATACTCGATTAAGCCAATCCAGATTTCAAAAGTAAGATTTTCTCTTTTCCTTGAAGTATCATAAGTGAAGTGGAGTAGATTGCATGTTGACGTTAAACAATGACAAAGCCTATGCCTCCGCCTCCGAGATTGAAGTTGTATGGGGCTTCCTCGTAGCAGTATAATGTCTTCAAATTGCTGCAAATGTAATATCCAATCCATGTGCAACTCTCTTTCCACTTATGTGGAATTGTCTCAGAGGATTATTTGTTATTAGTTTTGCGAAATATTTTCATATTTTTCTTTTTAAACTGGATTAAATAGAACTAGTAATTAGTAGTTTAATTATTTTGATTATGTGTTTCTGGGTTGGTGCAGTAATGATGTTGCTCTAATAAATGTCTGGACTAATGAAATTAAAAGAGTGATATCATATGCAACCCTTCTGAGCGCCATTTGTAATTTGTCGTAAAAACAAAATTATATCCAACTATTTGAAATTAGTCACAATTATTTATTTATTTAGTCAAAAAAAAAAAAAAAAAAACATTTGAGTAGACATTTTTGTCAAATATATTTGATCATATCATAGAGATCATGATGTGAGAGAGAACATGTGCGAGGGATGTGGGTGGGTGTGAGCATGAAGTGTAATGCTTATCAGAAAACCAATATTTGTCCTTTTTATGAATTGAGGAAATGCAGAAGAGGTAGGGGGGACGGTGTTGTTTTGCTGAGAGGGGTTAAATCAAAGGAGTGGATGCAATTTATTATTGGTATTTCTAGTTCCAAACTCAAGTCTTCCCACCTTCGCAACCAGTCAATTCAACCATAGGTCCAAAGTAGCACCATATTTCTAAACTTAATGAATCACAGAGAGAGAGAGAGAGAGAGAGAGAGAGAGAGAGGGCAAAATCAACAAATCAGCTCATCGAGTCGACAATTTGAACAGACAAACGATAACACAATATGAGACGGCGACGACCATCTAGCATGATCATGCTTTGAACTCCAGCAAGATCCATGCATTTGACAAGTAACAATGAATATGAAATTGTCAATCTTACAATTCAGCAAAGGCTTCATAAATCCAGAAACATTATTCAAATACATTCATTACCGTCACGGTCATAAAAAAGGAAGAAAAATGTATCCCTTGCTATCTGATATATAAATCCTTCTTGACGCACGCGGCAAAGTTTCTTCTTTCTATTTTTTTCCAGCAACGGGTGCTCAGTTCATGCACAAATAAAGTTAGTTTCAGACAAGAAGGGAGGACTAGATTCTCCCCCAACTTTCAGTTTTAATGATATAGCATCAAGAAATTCAAATTTCAGGCTCGGTCATCAATGGTTTTCCCTTTCAAGTAAGCAGGGCTGTTGTTTTACAAATCGGGCACAGATTCTTCTGCATTAGCCATTGTTTGATGCAACTGGTGTGGAAGTCATGCCCACAATCTAGTGTGCCAATATCATCCTCATCAGCAAAAGCCTCCTGCCATGATAAGGTTTTATACAAGGTAACAAGGACAAGTAAATCAGCTGCATTAACTAATTGAAAGCAACTAGTTGTGTTCTTGTGCGGATAGCGATAGTTGCATAGCTCATACCTGACAGACACAGCATGGTTCCGCATCTGCAGGGGATTTTTCTGAAATACAGAGAAATTTTCGCTGTTTCATGCACTTCATAATAGTCTCCTCACTCAGTCCAGTGCTAACATCTCCTATACGTTCCCCCAGTGCCAGCAGTTCCTATTGTCCAAAAGTACAGTAATAGGAACTGTTCCGAAACAAACAAAAAAAAAAAAACATGGGAAAAATACTTGTCCCCATCTTACCTCGTAAGACATGTTATCAACATCAAGGCGCATGTCTCTATGCCTGTCGTGCATCTCAGCCATGCCATGATATATGAATGGGTCAAGGAGCATATAATCCTGACATCCCCACATGAATGTTGATTGTCAAACATATGTAATACAATGTATTTAGCAATAAGATAAGCTACTTTCCCCTTGTTCAACAAAAGCATTTAACCGTAAATACTAACAGAAAAGAACAATCAAGCCTGTACCTGCTCATAAACATACCCAGATGCTTGCAATTTAATTATGCTGCCCTTACAATCGTTAGTTTCATCTTTCTCCCCAACCCTATAATTTTTTCCCACATACCATTTAATCAACCCCATCAAATCATAGTCCACACCATGGAGATGCAGATGATTGATTATCCAGATATTTTATATTCTTACTCGAGAAAAAATCCTATATAATGCTGATGCACAAAGAACAACGTCCAATGTGCCGCACAAAAAAAGGAAAAAAAAAGGGGGGAATGAACAGTAGAATAACCGGTATTCCGTGCTACTTTCTTCTATAGGACATACTTCTGCTATGTTTGCATGTTAACCCAGTAAAGTAGACTGACCACCTTCACAACACATCAGAAGGTTGTTTAGGTAGAAATTGTTGTACAAGATTTATTTCGAACAGGCTTTTTTCATGTCACAACTAGTATACCCCTTACTCAAGCTGCACGTTGGCAGCTAAACTGTAACCAGATTTGGCCATAGAAATGGCACAAACAAAGCTCAGTGTCTTCTATGGTGCTCCAATGTACTTACAGAGAATGAAAAATCAAATTTTAAATCAATCAGAATATATGACAGCACCTGCATTGAAGATATCTAACCTTGTACCTCCACGTTTTTGTACTTGTCAAAAGACCATGACTATCAGCCTAAGCCAGATACCAAAACAGCCTTTTGCAGTTGCAATAAAACTTATAGATTCGAAGTTAAACCAAACAGAAATTAAAGTCAAGGTCAATAGCAAACCTCGGCGCGTAAGTTCTCACCCCTACGCATAGCATTCAAAACTTGACGAATCTGCTACACAAGAAAATTATAATGGTTAGTTCCCGAGGGAATGATTCTTTTGCAAAATTTAGTGGGATATAGAAGAATAAAACTTGAAACACGGATGCCATCGTATAACCAGTCCGAGGCAAGAACCATTAAGTAAAATGCAAAATAATTCCACTCAACCCCACATCCAACCATAAAACTTAATGTGCAAAAGTGAAAGAATATGACTATAACAAATATCAAAATAGTAAAGAATTCAGGGACAAAGCTGGAGATCTATATGAATGGGGGCATCCTCAAACAATGAAGATATAATTTAAAAAGCTAAAAAAATTACCAAACAAAATACTTATATATTAATCAATCAGATTTTGCATACAACATATTACAACATCTCTTCATGCGTTTTCATGTTTTAAAAGCATTGCATGACAACTTCATTAACTATCAAATATCTCTCCCTATAAAAATAACCATGTAATCATCCATCCATTAATTTCCCAGCCAATTTCTCAACCGAATGTTTAGAAATTTCATGGCCTAAAATGCTCTTTCAATGTTGGCAGTAGCAACTGGAAGAGTTAATGTTAATGTCACAACCAAGTAAACTAGTGAAACACCTTACTAATGTCACAAACATGTACATTTTTATTCTACCAAAAAACCTGTGTAGGGGCATCTGCCCCCTGTGGGCCCAAGGTGGCTCCGTACATGAAAGAATAGTTTAATTTTCCCAATCAGAAGCCAAAGTTAAATACTTCCTGCTTTACTGTAGCAGTACAAATTAGAATTAGCTCCCTACACACATAAAATGTTATATTATCATTAACACACCTATTTAGTACCCAGTCAACGCAGTACATATTCACTCTGGGAGTTTCACCTTCCTCGTAAGAAAAGAGTGGCACCATTATCACCCCTATTTTATTTACCCAGCGACCTTGTTTTGCCACCCCCACAAAATTTTGTAAACAAATTTTTTTCTAAATTGCCATTATTCCCACAATATGTCTATCTTAACAACTCCACCACCCACCATATAAACACTCTTTGTAACCCTCAAATTTTCTCTTGATTTCAGATAACCCTTAGCAAAAGAAAAAAAGCCAGTGTGTGCTGGCCTCTTCTTGTAATGGTCTCCCTTAAAGTTATTTTGTGAAATGCTAAATTTGCAATAAAGAGTTATGGGGTAGGTGAAGTAGATGGGGGGCTTGAATAGAGCCCGTCAAAAGAAACGGGACAGGACAGAAGTATCTTATTTAGCAACCACAAATTGAAAAGTGGAAAGTTAAAACCTATATTGTTCATCAACTACTGTGGAGAATATATACAATATTATCACGAGAAATGTTTACGTGAATACTCTCATTCAAGTAAAGCATGAAAAAACTTTAAGACATGAAAGTTCCAGGAACTAAGAGATATTCCAAAAAGGTGATACTAAGATTTACTTTGAATATCAAAATGATGACAGAAACTGACAAAAGCCATTGCAAAATTAATTCTAAAGATGTAATATCCATGATATACAGTCTCCAAAGAGTACATGTACGGTGAGAGTGTACTTGAAAAGTAGGGAAAAAAAAATAAAAACACAAACCTCAGATATAAGTCGGCGCCTCCCTTCGATGTCAGCTGCTAATGCCCGCAGTGACTGGGGCATATTAAGAGCATCATCACCACGTCTGTCCAAGAATGCGGACCTAGGATGTGGTAAGTGACGAGCCTGGTTATTAGACCCAGAAGAACTTCCTGAATCCTGTGAGGAAGCAGGTCCTGAAGGTACTGGGTTATAATGACTATGACCTCCGGGTTGAGAATCAAAAGAAGGAAACAAAGACCAATCTATTGTTCTTTGATGATTTTCAGATGGAGAGTTGTTGGCACGGATCAATGCAGGAGTAGCAACAAAATTAATGCCAGAACTGGGGCCACTTCTTGAAGAGGAAGGGGCAGCTACAGAAATGCTTAATTCTCCAGAGGCCAGACCCCAAATTGTGGGATCCTGTGCTGAATTTCTCACATCATTGGCAGTTGTAAAAGTCGAATGCTCCACATTGTTTCGGGGAATGCTTCTTAAGTTTGCTTCTCCTCTTAACTCAGCACCTCTGTATCCAGACAAAAGAGAACTTGGTAAGCTGCCCACTCTTGAACTGGAAGCACCAGTCCAAGGAAAAGGAAGCATGTTTCCTGACGAACCACTCATATGCATTGCAGGAAACTGGCTTTGGGAACCAGCCGAATTTGTTGCAGCTGCAGTTATTGACCTCCCTTGTGATGATAAGTTGGATGGAGCAGATTCTTGCTGAGGCCCAGAACAAGCCCCCCTACAAAAAAATTCCCGCAGTGAGCTTGCTCCATTTCCTGTTGCATCTATTGAAGGCAAGGTATCAGATGCCCCAAGTCTCAAACCAACCCTGGTTCTTGAGTTTTGTTCTGAAGGACCACCACTAGGAGAACTACGCAACAGTGTAGATAAACTTAAATTACTAGGACTATAACGAGCAGAACCAGTATTCCAAGCACTAGTTTCAGCTTGTGGAAGGGAGCTAGAACTTTCACCAGAATAAGCCTGGCCTGAAGTACCCTCAAGGGCCTTTCGCTTGCATGATAAACCCCAAGATCCAAAAGAAGAACTTGGGTTGCCATCATTTTCCTCAACCAGAAAATCAGTGCTTCTGGATAAAGTCCCAACAATATCGGGTGAAGCACTACCAGAAGATGTCTGTTCTGTTTCTAATCCACCTGAAATATCATCCTCCATGCCAGGCACACTATTACCACTACTTCCCTGAGAAAAAAATGGCCCACCTTGAATCTGATTGCCACTGATTCCAATAAGAGCTCTCCCAGGAAAAAGGATATTTTGTTCAACTCGTCTTTCTTCTGAACTTTGACCAATCACAGGACAAGCACTATAAGGAGATGAACAACCTTGTCCCAATTTCATCCCATCATCATCAACTGGACCCAATCTAGAGCTAGGTTCACCTGAACCACTCAAGTTCTGGTTACTAGAGGCATTTAAACATGGAATCTCACCAGATGTTACCATATAACTTGACAACCGGTTTTCAACAGGATTTAGCATATTAATCAAAGAAGTCTGCTGACTCATACTAGTGCTGTTTGAGAGAGATCCAAGCTCAACATCTGTGATTTCAATGACAGTATCAATACCACTCCCTTGACCTTGCATTAGGGTCAACGAATCCCACCAAATACACCGGGCTCAAAAGACACTATATGGTGTTCACAGGTGGTTCAGATAAAACCCTAGTGTAAAAGATCGGGAATATTAACTTAATGCTGGTACTCTGAATGTAAGAAAACAAAATTCCAAACATTAGTTCAAATTCATATATAAATAATATAGCAAGAGATAAGACAGGATTCAGATTTACTAATGGGGATAAGATGATATAAAATCAATTTCTTGCATTATGTGCATGCCTTTAACTGAAAACCCTGACCCTGGAGATTGATAAAATAATAATAAAAAAATCAAAATGGTGGCAAAAATAAGAAGGTGCATGAAACAGTCTTGAGACTAGTGACGTGGTGTCATTCAGGAAGATGTAAGCTCATCACTAGCAGAGCAATTACAGCAAAAACACCTAAAATGAAAACGGTATGAGGAATTTAACCGGGAGAGAGAAGGAGGGGGAACAATAAACAAACGTAGGACAAAGTAATACCAGAAAGAAAATTAGAACACAGAGAACAGTCGGCTTATTCTCAAACAATAATCTTAATTAATTTTATATGGCATAAACTCTCTTACAAAATAGCACCTTAAATATCAAAAATATCCTAAACCCTAATATAACTTAGCACCATACTATTACATGTAAAGCCAGTTGACCATCAATTCGAATCCACATTAGTAATTTAATAGAAACTAAACAAGCAGCTTCATACTTGGAACGTTGATATACTTCGCCCTTGATATGGTCAAGGATGTCATAAACTATAAGTTTTATATCTAAGAACTCTCAGCCTAGCTTACTCCAATATATGAACTTTTACTCGCAAGTTTAATCATGGTATTCTTACACAGTCAAGTGTGAACTTTTTAAGTAACTGTATTAATGTGCTCAAGTTAATTTAGTTTTGCACCAAAATAAAGTTGAACCGGGTCTGGTTGACCAAGAATCAAGTGTACACCACTCTTTCTCAATCTTACTCAGGCAGACTTAATTACTGGAAAGAATTGGTCGGAACAGGTTAGAATTTGGTTGAACTCAATAAGACATACTGTAGCGAAACTGATCACTCAGTTGCAGCTTGGCGCGAATCAGGCTAGCTGAATTAACCCCCTCTATTGGATCAAAAAGACTAAATCAAATGAACTTAACTTAATTCCTAAACACTCGTGCTTCTACCGAACAATTAACGAATAATGAAAATCTTATTCCATTATCAATAGCAACAAAAATGATATTAAAATCCACCACAGAATCAAGAACAAAAAAGCCTTGATATCAAAATCCAATAACTGATATTATAGCCGTCCATCACATGTTTAAACCAATGCAAACGGGATTAAACATCTCCAATAGTAATGTTGTTAATGCAATGTAATTGACCAGCTCATAAAACCCAATAAAAAAGATGCAAATTAGAAACTTGTGAAAAATCGCCCAACCCATTTCTTCAACTGGGTTCGAATTTTGAGCATACCCAACTCAGGATCTTTGCAATTCTGGCCAAAAACCCAACCAAATTGATTTATTTTCAAATGATTCGACTCAAACCAGTAAAACAAACCAAACCCAGAACGCATAATCAACAGCTAAATTCAGGTCATTTGGGTCCATTCCGATCCTCCTAATTCTCTCCAATTCGGAAGAAATTAAAACCACAAAAACAAATAAAATTAAAAAAATTGAAAAAAAATGGAAGATGATAAGCCAAGGAATTAATGGTGGGGAAAGAATGAGGAAGAATAAGTACCGGAGGGTAGAATGGGGAGGACGAGAGATGATAGACGGAAGCGGCAGGATCAAATGGTATGGTGAGAAAACGTCTCCCACACACTCTCTCTCTTCCGTCTGTGTTCTGAGTCTCTGATTTTCCTTCTTCCTTCAGTTACTGGTTTATATTATTAAACCAATTTAATGCGAAAGAGATATCCCGGAATGCGACAAAAAAGCCCAACTGAGAGCAATGGATGAGAGAGACGGAGGGAGAGAGGATGGAGGAGTAAACTTGGTATTCGTGTCGTTTTTATGTAATACTTGATACCTTGACAGATTATATCGTGTAATACGTATTAAAATAAAGGAATTGTTATTGGCACTCTAAAAATCTCATTTCACACTCCAAACTTTCTATATTTGGAAAGAAAAATACACTTGTGAGGAGTGTAGAATGAGATTTTTGGAGTGCCAATAACACTTCCCTAAAATAAACAGTTAATATGACCCAATCCAAAATCAACCTGTTAATATTATCAAGTAATATGACCCGACCCGTTATCTGTTAAGAAAAATATTTTTTAAATCAATAAAAATGAAAATGAAAAACATAATTTGATCCAAAAATGTAAAACATAATACTAAATTAGTATATACATACTAAATTTTTGAGTTGATCGCTTCATGAAAGTTGTAAAGTTTTTCATTACGAGTGATTACATTTTTCACACTTCTACAATAATTATTATTAATTTTGCACTCAAATAAAAAACATTGTTCATTGATAGGAGCATATTCATGCGACTTAAATGGCTTGTTCTCGTACATTTACGTTATGTTTCTTTAGTTATTTTAGTCCTTTATGCTTCTTTTGTGTGTTTTCAGGATCATAAGACGTGTTTGACGAAAGGATGCATTGTGGAGTGTTTTGGGGCCTTTTGGAGCACTATTGGGCTAAGGATTGATAGCTTATGCTTGGAGCCCAAGTGGTTGGATGAAATTGAAGGCCTTGTATACACTTGAGGACACAAAACAATGGCCCTAACCCAATTACATTCACATTGCCGTGGGCTTAACACAAACACCATTCCTTGCCATGCAAGGGGGAGCAATTTGGGTCCATTTCATGCACTTAAACCCTAGCCCAATTACACACCATTGCAGCCAAATCCATTCTTTGCCATGCACATTCACCACCAATTCAACATTGCAGCCACATGCACCAATTCCTCCATCATTGCACAACATTGCAGCCACATGCACCAAAAACTACACTATGCCGTGCATTCCATTCATTACAACATTGCCATGCATCACATGCATTTCCAACACTTCCCCCTTTGTGACGTGCCTTCCCTTCCACTTTCCAACCACATTCTTCCACTTCCCACTTCATCATTACACCACCTAATCCACATGCTTTCCCAACAATATAATTGAGCCAACACATGCACCCAAACAAAGCCAACCTAGCTAACCCTACATGCATTTCTTTATTCACTCTTCATCACATGCATTTTCACCACCATTCACACACACATGCATCCTGAAATCCTTGCCGTGCCTTCCCCTTAGATTTTCAGCAACTTCTCTTCATCATTACACCACAAATCACCCACATGCACTCTTAATCATTCATCCATTTCACCACAAATCCTTCTTTGCCGTGCACATGGTCTTCCCTTTTTCAATTCCAGCTCACACAAACACACCAACACAAAACAGCCCATCCTTTGCCGTGCACACTCCCATTGCATTTCCAGCTATTCCACATGCTATTTCAGCCACATCCCTCCATAATCATTCAAATCCCTGCCATGCACATGCTCTCCCATTTTCAGATTGAAGCCACATCCATTTCCAGCACCAAACACCACTCATTGCCGTGGCTACCAACCCATTTCCAGCTTTCACATGCTGCAACATGCAATTCCAGCTTTCCACCCACTTTCCTAGCTGTTTTTCACATGCATTGCAGCCACATTCTCACCCATTCTCTCCCTATATAAACCACACACACTTCATTCATTTGTGATTCATTCACTCCCCATTCCATCTCATTTCATACACAACACCACAACACAACACAAAAACAGCATGCTTCCAAGCTTACCGTGGGTTCCCTTCCACTTCTCCTCCATTGCTTCCATTTCCACCACTCCCCAAACTATCCACACCATCAAACTATCCTTAGACCTTATGCTACAACGAAGAGGAAGAGAAGAGGGCCTAAACGTTCATACAATTCAAGTTTGAGTTGTTGGAATGTTTAGGCGTTTCTTTGATTTCAATGTTTAATTTCAATTCTCTTTATTTTGTACGTATGAGGAACTAAACCCCCCTTGGCTAGGGGGGATTCGAAATATATGTTTATGCTTGCAATATGATTTGAGTACTTCTAATTACAGTTCATAAGTTGTGAATTCAATTTGTTTAACTATTTGGTTGATAACCTATTTATGTATGTTTATTGAGAGTTCACGCTTAATTTTCATGCATGAATAATACGCTAGAATATAAGTGAATTTCACGTAATAGTTATGAACTTATATTCACAAGTAGTGGAGGTTGCTTATAAACAATCGCGTTAAACAAATTCTTGGCATAAGTTTCATGCAATCATAGTAACGAATGCCTCGTCAACACTTATAGTTTTCATGATGCTTAACGATTCTTGCTTGTATCTCTATTATGCAATTCATGTAGGGAACTTGTGAGGAATGCTTTGGGTTGTCGTATGCAATCATCCAATTCATTAACTTAAGGAAAACTTGACGGTTAATTTAAGCGGACATAATTAACCCGGGGCGTTGAGAATTCATGGTTTATTGAAAAGTAATTAGAAATCGTTTTGTATGCAAGTATAACATGTGTGGCGATGAACCCCTTAGCTAGCTTCCCATCCATTCATTTCCGTCAAATCCGTATTTACAATTTGTTTTCTTTGCAATTTATCCATTTTAGTTTAATCTCGTCCAAACCTAAATCCCCCCTCCATATTTTGTTTAAGTCTTAGTCTTAATCTTTCTTATTTTTAGTTTTGCATTCTTCGCATTAAATAGTGTTTTAAACTTGTTTTTACGTTTTTAAAGTAAAATCCAAGTGATTAACAATCCCTCCTAATCCCCGGTCCAGAACGATCCCTACTTATACTTATACTACAATTGACAAAAAGAGGGTTTAATTTGTGTGCGTAAATTCCACGCATCAAATTTTGGCGCCGTTGCCGGGAATTAGCAACTTTGCTAATCTCTTGGATTGTTTTATTTTCGTTTGTGTGTATATATTTTTAGTTTTATTTTGTTGATTTTAGAAGCAAGACATGGCACTTGATAGTGCTTCTCTTTTGTCACAGCTTATGGAAGAGTACCAAACGCAAAGAGTTGGTACATTTGATCATAATCAATCAAGGAACGACGTGTTTTCCAATACTTACAATTCGGATTGGAGTGATCATTCAAATTCTATGTGGTGGGAACCTCAACATATTCAACAAGAAGGATATTGGCAGCCTTATGAGGAGTTCTATTCAATGTCTATGCATCCACCACAACCTCATATACAATATGCCCAACCAAACCAAGGTTTGTCAATAGATTATAATCAAGCTCTTAATGAATTAATTTCTTCGGTGCAGGGCTCACAAAACCAAGTCGAGGAGGTTCAACAAGGAGAATATTGGCAACCATATGAGGAGTTCTATGCCCAAAGCAATGTAAGTAATTCAAGTGATAATGATACGATTTTTCAATTACTTACTACTTTGACGCAGGAAGTCCAAACTCAAAACAAGGACGAACAAAATCAAGACAAGAAGTTGGGTAAATTGGAGGAGCAAATTGGGCAGATTATGGGGTTCATGAAACAAATTCAAGAGCAAAGTGAACTCTCCAACTCAACTATTGAAAACTCGAAGGAAGATTTTGAAATCCATAATGTTATCACTCTGGGAAATGCTATGGAGGTTGGAACGGACCCTAAACCATCATCAAATTACAAGGAAGATGAAAGGTTGCAATTTGAGGAAGAGGAACACACGCAACCTATGGCAAGGGTGGAAACACCTTTGCCGCAGGCACCTATTGCTCCTACGCCATCCAATTCAGGTAAGGTTGTTCCAAAGTTAATTATTTCTAACCCCGTTCCACTGAATATCCCTATTCCTTGCAGGATCATGCAATCCAAGGAAGAAGAGGGTGAGAAAGGCATCTTCGAATCCTTTCCAAAGAATCAAGAGCAAGATGTGACTGAGGAATGTCTAGAATTCATCAAAGAGGATATACTTGAGACAACAATTCGCAAAGAAATTGGATTTCATGACACAGGACAAGTCATAATGCTCAAAACACCAAATCCAGCTGAAATTTCTAGTCTTACAACTTTCGAAGGGGTGTTTATTCTTGAGTTTATGTCGGAGCACACAGGTAAGCCACCTCCCCGAATTTCAATTTTCTTTTATACTAATATGTTGTTAATGATCCAGGCACCCACTATAGAATTTAAACCATTACCGGATCATCTCAAGTATCACCCCCCATTCAAAGATAAATTCCATGTCGTGGGTTCCAATTGAGCCTAAGAAGGCTTCGTCCGGCTGCAAGACGTAAAAGAAAGCGCTACTTGGGAGGCAACCCAATACAGTGAATAAAACAAAGCTTGTTCATTAATTTTCTAGAAATTACAATTGTATCTAAACATGGCAGAAAGATGGAGCCTTCACAAGGGTTGTGTACGTGAGGCCCCACTACGTGGCAACACTCTAGGAGCGGGAGGCATCGAAGCAGGAGACATCGGAGCGAGAGGCATAGGAGCGGGAGGCACCGAAGATAGATCATTCAAGGCCCCAATCCTTGGTGGAACGTTGGATGACCAGGAAAAAGGTGCCTCTGGAAAAAAGCCGCAAGCCTTTGACGGTCATCAAGCTCATCAAGCTTCCTCTTCATGCCTGTCGAATAATTGTTGGCAAGCACGTGCAAACTTCAGTTCTCGTACTTAAGCTGTTTGATCTCCTGCTTAAGACTCTCCACCTCCGCCATCAAGGATTCAACCTGACGGGAGCGAGCAAGTAGGCGTTGGTCCATGTTGGACACAGAGCCAGCGCACTGAACGCTAAGAGCCAAGGACTCTTGAACGGCCAACTCATCGGACCGTCCTGAAAGCAACTGACTGTCTTTGGGAGTGAGGAGGTT